ATTTTAATTTTTCTGAAATTCTTACAAAAGATTCATTTCAGTTTCATAAAATAACAGTTTATATACTAAAGAAAAATATTTAACAATATGTTGAAATTTATGTGAATGGAGAACACTGTAATTATTAAAATACTTGTTATAGTATATTTTTTTTAATTTTGAGGCCGAAACTTCCACCCCAAGATCAATGCAATATCTGATTCGTTGACAATTTTGGTAAGAAGTCTCTTTTTTTTTCATTAAGGGATTATTTTCGAAATAAAGTTGGCCGAATTGAATATTGAAATGATTGAATTATGAAATTTCACCCAATATTTACAGAATATTACAAAAATAACCATTTTCTTTATTATTATTTTTCAAGGGACTTATATATATATATATATATATATATATATATATATATATATTAACAGAGGAGCAGCTCGTGTTGGAATTTTAAAAACATGGCCCGGCTCTCATCATGAGGACAAAAAGTGAATTATATATATATCTCATAAGATAGATAAAATATTAAGAATAATACAAAAAAGAAATTAAGATTTAATTGTATATTTAAAACAAATTAAGATGTACCTAATAAAAAATAACAGTCTATGCGAGCAATTGACAAATTGTTCGAGCTCATGTCAAAAATATTGGTTTAAATTTTAAATAAAAAAATAATTAATATTTAAAAAAATTATTTATAAAATATATCATAGATGTTTAAAAATTATTTTTAAAAAATTTTAATTAACTAATTTAAGGGATATATGTCCCGTATATATACATATATATATAATGTTATTTAAATTAGACATATTAAAGAGAGGGATAAATCAAACAAACAACTCCTAGGTAATGGAAGAGTCAAATAAACTAACATAAAATAATTCTTCGACAGACATTGTATCAGCAAAAGCATAATGAGTGAGAAAATCTCAGCCGTCCACGTAGGCTGCGACCTCTGTTGGTTATCCTAAGCCTGTTTTTATGTTGGAAAATTTTAAATCGTTTTTATTGACAACTTTTGTCTCCTTTACACGTGGAAAATGTAGGCAGCGATGCACCACCACCTTGATTATAACGTCCATGAAGAGACTATAATGAGAGTGATGCACATTATTAAAATATTAAAACGAAGACAGTACAGCTTTAAGTCTCAAAACAACATATAAAACCTGCCTTAAGAAAATTTATATATCGAAAATGAATATTAAATTATTACGGTTACTTTGAAATAAATATAAATATTGATATTATTAGATATATTTAAATTTTATCCATATCAATTTAATTTTGATTTTGAGGAATTAGTATACCTCAAAAGGAAGGAAAGGAAATAGCAGGAGAGAGAGAGAGCCCCCTCTTTCATCTTTTTTACCTTTTTAATTACATAGAAAATAATATAAAATTGTCAAAATTAGATATCAAGGATTATATTTTTGAATTCTCTCTCATCGGTGTCATAACTATGTGACATTGTTGGTTAATATTAGATATTGTCATCACGACGACCATCTTGATGTTTGGGCAATAGGACTAAATCTCGACGCCCTTAAATGGGAGATGAACATCTAGATGTGTTGGTTGGTCATGATGACTTTTTCTAATTGCTATCTTCGTAGAAATATGTTTGAATTGTCTTCTTATGAAAGATGGGAACGAGCTAGATCAGACACTTCAACGGGTGGGCTTGATTCAACCACTTTGGAAGATGAGCTTGATTCAATCACCTTGGAATGTGGGCTCGACAGGCGAGCTCGATTAAGCCATATAAAAGCTAATTAAATTTTTTTTTGTTTACTGATATTTTTGTATACATGTGATAAAGAAAAGAATGTGCAAAATTCATATTTATATGTATATCGCCTAACTCCTTAACATGTATATCACATCAAAAATAGCATCATCATCATTATCTTTTAAAAGTAAAATACATTATCTACATGTGTAGGTTAATAACACCAAGTTGTTACAAGTGTAAATATAAAATTTAGGTGTTAGATAAAAATTTTGTGGTACATAGGTAAATGCCCCAAAAAGAAATTCATCAAAGGAAAAAGTAAAATTAATGGAGCTTATAAGGAAAAATGACAGCATACTAATGAGAAGTGCCGACCATAACTCAGCAAAACTCATGCCATTTGAATAGATGAAATCAATAATAATAATAATAATAATAATAATACTTTTCAGATAAAAGTGCAACACACTTTTTGCTTTTTAATTGAATAATCTAAAAAATGTTTTAAGAGGGTTATTAATACTCTTAAGCAAATTCAAACAAATCAAAGTAGGCTATAGTAAGTATGACAAAGTCAAGGCCTAACATCATGGTAAGTTTAGTTGGATTCATCTTCTATTTCCCACATTGTGGAGCACTTAATAGTTTGAAGCACCAAAGGCAACCACCAACAAAGAAGAAGTCATTTGGGTTATGTATTCTCCTCGAGTGGACCCACATCACCTTATTCCACAAATAATTGAAACACAAGATAAAATTTTGAGGAATTTAGTATACCTCAAAAGCTTTTATTTTCATGTATTTAAGTTTTCTTATCAAATAAAACAAGCATAAACAATTGCGTGGTCTTCACATTTTGTTTTGCTACCCTACTTCATAATCCGATCCTACCTGCCTACGTGATCCCACCCACTAATATGAACCTGTCCACCCTTACGTTTGCCCCCATCAAGGCAATCTCGACATCCACAGAACATATCATGCCAAATATGCTAAAATTTGAAAGCGTTGTACGTTGGCATCGTCATGGGAACAAATATTACATGTGATCATCTGTATGTGTTGATGGTCAATTATTGATGTGTACATAATCATCCTCTCTATGCACGACTAATATGTAATATTTTTTCCCGTCATGAACCTCTTCCCTACAATATTGATCACCACCATCCTTGTTAACCTCATTAGTTGCCACCGGTAGCCTTAAATATTTTATCCAAAAAACTCAACTTTTATTGCTACCAAAAATTAAAAAAAGGGCATTTACATACACACCCCACCGTTCTCATCGTTTACATGTGTAGCATCTAAAATTTTACTATTTACATACATAGCACTCAATTCTTTAATGTTAATGCAAAAATATTACTATTACAAAATACACATATTCATGCACAGATAAATGAAAATACATAGGAATTGTGGCGTATGTTAAATTTTCAAAAATGAAAAACTTACTATTACAAAATACACATATTCATGCACAGATATATGAAAATACATAGGAATTGTGGCGTATGTATGTAAATTTTCAAAAATGAAAAAGATAGTTTTCACAAACCAAATGAATTTGAGTATTATAAATGTATTTTATTTTTCAATAATTACATACATTATCATAAAAGCTTAATGTATTGATATAGCTTACTCCTAAATTTTTATTTTTTACATTTATACCACTTTACCTATGCTTGTAAAGTCGTACTTCATTCTAATTACGTCATACTGATGATTTTAGTGTTATATATAAATATCAAAGTTCAGGTGTTGGACATCTAAATATACATGTAATCTATTTAAATACATGCAATCAAATAGCCTTTAAATAATTGTGAACAAGGAAGAAAGCCATGTTGAATTTAATAAGATCATAATTAATAATTTGATAAAGATTGTAAAATTAAAAATATTTATTATAACTTTTATGAAAATTTTTTATAGTCTGTTAAAGAGAAAAGAAAAACATTTATTAAAAAATAGCAATATATTTCATAAATTTTATAGGATTGTTTATTTAAACAATTTTTTTTATTAAAGTTAATAACAAGAGTTGCTCACCAACCCAAATGCATCAATAAATTATTATGTAATATAATAAATCTAGAAAAATATTTTATTATGATATTTTGATCAAAACTTAAATTGAGTCGTAAGGCTCCTAAATTTATTCTAAGATTAATGCATTATATATGTAATTAATATGACACTATTATTAAGATTAATTCGTAAGGAAAAATTATCATAAGAAGTTCTTTTATTACTTTTCCTTTGATAATTTTTTTAAGCTTAGCACTTTCTAATAATTGATGTGAAGCTTTAAGGTCTGTTTGGGGCAGCTTTTGCGTTTACACTTTCTAATAATTGATGTGAAGCTTTAAGGTCTGATCGGGGCAGCTTATGCGTTTAAGGATAAACAACTTATCCTGAAACGCGGCCCACGGGTCGATCGCATACCTATAACATAATAATTATTTATTTATCTCAAACCCTTAAAATTTTTATTTACATTCATAACACTCAAATCTTTTATACCACATTAAAAAAATTATATAACAATTTTTTAAAAATGAACTACACACTTCATGTATGAGTGTCATAAAGAAAATATCAAATTTTAGATGTTAGATATGTAAATTTTTTAAATTTTTTATAATATTTTGGTGTTATATGCTTGAAAAATTTGTTTTTGATTAAAAGTAAATAAAGAATAGCGTTATTTTTATTGTGAGAATAGAAGGAATGTTATGCATATTTACATAAAACTTGAAATATTAGATATAAAATTATATATGAATTCTCTGATATGCTTGTAAGCTACCGGACAGTAATCTAAGAAAATGGGTATTATTTAGATAATTTATATTAGGTAGGGCTGCCAAAACTGCTCGTTGTTCGTGAACAGCTCATGTTTGGCTAGTTAAGAAGCTTGTGTTCGGCTCGTTCCCTAAGTTAACGAGCTGAACACAAACAACACGAACAAATATTTATTCGTTCTTATTGTGCTCGTTTTGGCTCGAAATACTACTAATCAATTATATATATATCTTTGATGAGTAGCCTTTTTTAAAAATTTAGTTGACTATAAAGATTTATAATCAATTCAAAGAATTAATGAAGAAAATAGAATAAAATTATTAAATTAGATTCAAATGATGTTCTAAATCTTGTCCTAATTCTTAACATCTAATGACAACATAATTAGGGTTGTCAAAATGACTCTTTGTTGTGAACGGCTCGTGCCGAACACGAACACATTTTTTTAGCTCTAAATATAAACTAGCACTAGATTATTAGGTTATAATCACGTCGTACATCATTATATGATGTGTACAGGGATGAACAAGCAAATTGTACTCAAATTCCCAATTCCCAATTCCCAAATGGAAACAGACAGTGAGCTCCTCCACGACCTCCCACCCCTCTTCCGCCAATACAAGTCCGGCCGCGTGGAGCGCTTCTCCGGCGCCACCGCTGCCCTCCCTTCCCCCCTCGATCCCACCACCGGCATCTCTTCCAAACTCGCCGTCATCGACCCTTCCACCCCTGTTTCCGCCTGCCTATACCTTCCCCCGAATCCACCATCAACCTCCACTCTCCCGATTCTCCTCTACTTCCACGGCGGCGCCTTCTGCATCGAGTCCGCTTTCTCCAATACCTACCACCCCCACCTCACGTCCCTCACGTCCCTCGCCCGCCTCCTCGTTATCTCCGTCGACTACCGCCTCGCACCCGAACACCCCCTCCCTGCGGCCTACGATGACTGTTGGTCCGCCATCCAATGGGTCTTCTCTCGCTCCGATCCGTGGCTGGCCCGATTCGGGGATCTCCGCCGGGTGTTCCTCGCGGGGGACAGCGCCGGCGCGAACATCGCGCATCGGATGGCGGTGTGGGCGGGGGAGAAGGGGTTAGGGTTTGAGGGGATGGCTTTGGTTCATCCCTACTTTTGGGGATCGGAGCCGGTGGGGAATGAGGGGAGGGAGAAAAGCTGGAGGGGTTGGATGGACGGGTTGTGGAGGGCGGTGAGCGGAGGGGAGAAGGGGCTGGATGATAGGTGGATAAATCCGGCGAAGGAGGGTAAAGAGGCTGTGGCGATGATGGGATGCAGGCGGGTGGTTGTGTGTGTGGCGGAGAGGGATCCAATGAGGGAGAGGGGGAGGGTGTATTGGGAGATGTTGAGAGGGAGTGGGTGGAGAGGGGAGGTAGAGATTGTGGAGACGAAAGGGGAGGGGCATGTGTTTCATTTGGAGAAGAAGACGGAGGGGGATGAGAGTGTTCGGCAATTGATGGATGTGTTGGTCAGGTTTTTTAGGAAGGATCCGTTGCCCGAAGACCCTGATTCTGATTACATCTTCTCTTCTTCTTCTTCATAGCGATTTTTTTGGGAAATGAGGCGGTTGAGGAAATATTAGGTCAGAACTCCCCATGCTAATGTCGGAGAAAATATTAGGTTAGGATTCCGAATTATTCCAATAAAGAAGTACCACGTGTAAAATTGGCTCATCATACACTGTGATTAGTCTTGACCTAATGTTGAATACTATGATGGAGGAGGAGCTCATGGTTAGTGGGAAATTAATAAAAAATTGCTGATTATAATTTTTTTAAGGAAAATAATAACTTGTAAATGTTAAGCTAAACCCGGGAACTGCTACTGCCTTTTCGCTAATCGAAGCTTTGGTTCACCTCCCGCCTCTTCAGTCGCGAACCGTAGGCGCCAACCGCTCCCTCCTGTTCACGATAAAAGGCATCGGCTCTCCTTTGGTGGATGACACAACATTTTGTGTTCTTCTTCGGTTTCCTTAGGATAGAGGAATATTTCCTTGGAATAGAGAAAGGAAAGTACAAGCAGTGTGTGGGTACTTGGTAAAACCGTAGAAGGAAGAAAGAAGAAGAAAGAAGAAGAAGATTGTTCTTCGTTGGCTTCTTCTTGATGGCATGTGGCAGAAGAGAACTTAAGTTTATTTCTCTTATAAGTTTATCTTCTTCAGTGTATCTCGGTATAGAGTTTCTTCAGTGTATCTCGGAGTAAAGAGAGAAGAACATAGAGAGAAGAAAAGAGAGCAACGAAGTGAGAGATTCCTCCTGTAAATTCCTCAAGTAATAAAATCTTCTGCAATTCCGTGAGCGTAGGCAATTTGCCGAACCACGTAAATCTGTGTTCAACTGTGTTACTGTTTTTTGGTATGAATTTTATTGTTCCATTTTTCGCTTCGTCAAAGATCATTATCTTATTTTATCTCTGTATATATACCATAACAACCGGTATTTCTCACAACAGTAAATAATCGTATCTCTTGAAAATTATTATTTGTGGATGATTGTATGTCGGGACAAGCGGTCACAGGAACATATATGATAGAGCGGCTCATCTGAACGTCTTCCGGACATACGACCTCCACACACAATAATTTTTTTTGTCGAAAAATTATGGCATGCAGATCATCACACGTTTGGATGAAAATCCAGATGCAATCACACAGTTACGTATAAGACGGTGGCATATTCGAATAATCGTCTAGACAGAGGTCTCTACGCGCAATAATTCTCTTATGTGAAGAGAAGTACATTCAGAAGCGTTTATTGTTGCTGTTCGATTTTTCTTCGTTTCTGTTAGCTGCTGTATGTTCTGTGAAGGGGCTGTTATTTTAGGCTGGAATTAAGCAAAAAACATTGCCAAACAGACTTTTTTGGGGATTAAAGTCCTTTATCTCCCGAATTTATTAAGTCTCACAATTTAAGCAATTTAACATTTTTTTTTTAAAATTTCTGCTCTTATAAATTTATTTTCTGAAAGAAATACCTAAATAATTTTAAAAATTAGAAGATTTAATAGTTATGATGGTTAATAGCTTTCAAGATCTCGTCCTCCCGGAATTTGCCAAATTTGAATTTACTGGATTTATCAAATTGCAGTTGTAGCCTTTGAGCTCAACATCTGTTTATTTTGTGTCCTCTGCAGAAATGAGTAGTGCACAACGAAAAGAAATTAACCCAAATTCTGTTGATTTTTTTCTAACTTTATTAAGAATAATAGTTATATTAACGATAATTATAGGTTAATTTACCATCTCCTTTCTCCCCTCTCCTCATTTTAGGCCAGGTTCACATTTTTGTATCCATACATTTCTTTTAGGAGAGAATATTACCTACCGAACCTTGGTATAACAGTTATACAGGAAATAGGCACGCAAGAATTTTGTCTTTTCTAGTTACTATTTCTCTTGTTCTTCCCATTATTTTAAGCTCTTCCAAGATTCCTAAAGGCCCACTTCATTTTGCTTTTATTCAACTTTTTCAACCTTTGTTTTCAGACAAATTTTATGGATTGTTAGTGGAGATTAATTGGATCCATTCGTATTGACTAAAAAAGTTTTCAAGGAGCGCATGAGTATTGATATAATTTTTAGATCTTAACATAATGAAGCACACGCCAATACAAAATGATGGGGCTTTTGCATGCATTTTAACACCTAACTTTCATTTTGATATTAGTACCACTCAAATCTTCTATATCACGTAAAAATATTATTATTTTAACATGAAAAATGACATACATTTTTGCATAAATAAAGTAGCATGTTTTTAAAAATTGAAATTTAGATGGTACATATATAAATACATAAGGACTAAGTGATGTGCATGTAAACCTTAGAAAGAAAAATAAAATAATTCTGCTCGTTTATGGACTGCTAAAAGCACTTGTAGAAGAGTTTGAAAAAAGATAAAAGAAGAGAGTTGATGAGCCATTGAATCCGTAGAGAAGAAAAAAAAAGAAAAAAAGGAGAGAGAGAGAGATTGACATGTAGATGGGACAAAAACATAATATATGCATATGTGTATAAAATCGATCGAGTAGATACTAATTCAAAGAGAATTAGCAAGGCTTTGACCCGCTTTGCCGTATAGTGCCACTGAGTGATTCCTATTGGAATTTCTCATAAATATTGAAAAAATATAGTTAATAATATAATTAGTCTTTCTTAAAAAAAATAAAACTTCAAAAATTTTAAGTATTTTTAAAAATAAAATCATTACTAAAAAAATTATAAAATAAATCAAAAAAATACACTAAACATATTTTTATAATAAAAATAAAAAATAAAAAAAAAATAAAAAATAAAAAATAAATTTAATCCCAAACAAGCCCTTAATTTTTTTTTTATTTATAATATAGAAAATTTAGTAATTTTGCGCAGTACTTCTAAAAAATAAACAATTAAAATAATTTGCCCTTCCTAAGAAAGTAGTTAAATATATGGAGCCGAGTTGTTTGCATGGTATAGAGAAGACACATGAAGAGAAACATTTCCCACATGATTATCAAAATGCCATTCATCAAATTACACCACTAATACCACTAAAAAAATAGAGTTTGCATAGATTTACATACGCATTTAATTAAATACATTTTATAATGTTGACCTGCAACCTTTACATAAGCAAAATAACTACAGAATCCAGGCAGGAAGCGTGAAAAGCAAATGCAATATGCAAGTTCTCCTAGTACTCACAACGAAATCAAAATGACAATTTTTTCTCAAGAATTCCTCAGTGTAAAAGAGATTTAATAATGTAAATAATTCCTGGGGACGGAGGCCATCGCTTATTGGCTCAACCTCAACCTATACAAAAAGAAACATTTACTGAACAGCAAGCCTTTGAAGATGGTTGAGGAAGACCTCAAAACTAACGTCGTCCGTGAATATGACATCTCCACCAGATGCGAGTTGAGTATCGGAATTATACGTGACTGAAGGGTTGAGTTTAGCCAGTAGGAATCGAGCCTGCTCAAGCCCAAAAGACCAGAAATCATTCTATAAGCTGCGAAGGTCTCTGATTATATTCAGCAAATATTGGGTGACTTTGAATGACGAAGTTCATGGACAAAACTAGATTTTTAAAAGTTCGTCAACATATCATCGTCATATTATCATTATTTTTTACATGCTGGATGAATGATGGAATAATTGCAGAAATTAACAATCATATTTACTTAGTTGTATTGTAGATCGCAATTAATGTTGTGCTAATCAAAAATTATGTTGAAAAATGTGATATTCTGTAATTAAATTGGCCATACACAAATAGTTGAATGACTATCTTGGGATTTATTTCAATAATTGGCTTTTTTTTTATTTTGAGGAGCGGGGAGATAACTGTATTTGTAAGCCAATAACTTTGTGTAATTAGGTGTAGAACCATTAATCATGCTCCGGACATGCAAACATATATATAGTTACATGCTCAAAATTAAACATTGATGCACTGTTCTATGGTTCCTAGAAGATGTTTGAAAATCGGATCTAGTGGTGAGATGTTGTAAAAATTAAAAAGATGAAGAGAATATGTGAAGTTTGTGTGATTCGGAAGTCAAAAGAATAATGGCGGCTGCTGTCCAAGGACAAAGGCAGTAGAAAATGCAGCCAAATAGTGATATCGGTAAGCACAAACAAGGAAGATCCATCTAGTCCCGAACAAGTTACAAGCCAGCCACTTGCATGAGGCAAAGGATAAAGCAATCTTTAAGAGTTGAAACAAGAGAAACAATATCTAAATTGCAAAAATCAAAGCAAAAGTCCCCCCAAAAAAAATTAACTGATATTTAAATGTTCCCCAGCAAAATAACCCTAATTCTATTCCAAATAAAGTAAAAAATGGGGCCCATAAATGCCGCTACTGAACCTTCACGAGACTGGATTCTTTCCCAATCCCGCTTGCAAGGTGATCGCCGGGACCGCTCCCGCATCAATTGGCATTATACACATGGCAAAAAAAAATCTATAAAATAAAAATTCATAAAGTTTCTATACAATAGTTAATGTTTATGTAAGCTCTCGTATCTCATTTGGAACCATTCAAAACTTATTATTAACGTATTGAAATTTGAAAATAGGAGAAGAATGTCTAAGGGAATCAAAATATTATTTTTGAAAATTTAAATCGAACATGTGCCATATCCTGTGTGATGAGGTGAAGTGTTTGACTGAAAGTATTCCAAGGTCAAAAAGCAATTTTGAGTCTTATGACATACCTGACAAATAGATACAGATGTGCTTAACCTTAAATAGTTATGCATTGCTTGACCCGGCCATTTGTACAAAAAAGACAAAGTAATGGGAAGTAACAATTCCTACTATAATAATAGTATTTAAAAGAAAAAGACTTCAATGCCAACTGTAGCAACTTTCGTTAGGCAATTAAATGATCAATTTTAAAGGTTAAGTGGCCGTTGGGGGATCACTTATAATTTTTGTTTATTATTTTTTATTTTTTATATTATTTTATTTATGTTTTTACTTGGTCAATAAAATATATTGGTATGTTATAGAATATTTAGTTACTTCTAAACATGCTCGAACTCCTAAAAATTTTTTAGTATATCGACTGTTTTTAAAAACAAACAAATTTGTTTAAAAATAATAAAAAACATGCAAAAAATGAATTAAATAAATATATTTTTAAAATAAAAAAATAATCTCAAAAAAGTCCTAAATGATAATATTAGCAGCTTGCGTCCATTAGAGACTAAAGGTAAGTATCCAAAAGAAAAAGAAGAATGCAAAACAAAACATATCGGAAATAAAACAACCTGTGAGCCATATTGATCGCAAATGACTAAACGGGGAACAGGAAACCGTTCTTTAATTATCCCATCAGCATCATCACGAGGTGCTTCCAACAATTGAGCAAATGTCTACAAAGATATACCATGAACCTTGCAATAAGAATATATGAAAGATGCTTTTTTTTATTAAAAAAAAAAGAAATTTACCAGCAAATCATGCCTAAAAAATAAAAAATGAAAAAAATGCACTAGTTATTTACCAACAGTAGAAAAGAATATCTTGATCGAGTAAAATGAAAAAAATTAAGCACAATCAATGTGGCAATGATATAAATTATAGAACTAGTAAATGTTTCATAATTTGACTAACAAAATTCTGAACTATAACTTCCCTAAGATGATTCTAGTCAATTCAATATCTCGGATTGCATCTCTACAAACTCGAAAATAAGCTATATAGGTTCAGCAAAATTCTGTAATCGAAGAGACCCTAGAGCTTATCCATACGGCATGAGCAATGGTGAAAAGAATCACTGCTAGCTGAGAAGAAGTAATAATCTTCCAGGTGATTGATTTATGTGTGAGCCCTAAAAACCTAATGGCAGTATTAATGCTTAACAATAAGAGCAATATCAAGATACTCTTTTAGGGTCATTTACATACATACCACACAATTCATATGCACTTACATATCTAACACCTAAAGATTCATATTTACATGCATACCACTCAATTTATTAACACTCCATCAAAAATTCCAACATCACTATCTTTTTAAAAGACAAATACACCTTTTGATGCATAGGATTATGCAACAAGGTGTTATAAGTGTAAATATCAAACTTTAAGTTCTAGTTATGTAAATACATACAAATGGTGCCGTATGCATGTAAATTTTCCTTTATATTAATAGTCGGGCCTAAATCAAGCCATAATGCATGCAGAAAATATAGGCATTTTTTAGGCATGTCAATTTCTATGTAAATATATATCATTAGCAGTTCAGTTAATATGCATTGCTGTGCAAACAAGAGGCAAGAAAATACTAAAGTTGCTGAAGCTAACTATGTCCAAGAAATTCCTGCACCTGGTTCTAAAATTAAATTTAGGGAAGATTTACATACATACCACTCAATTCCTATTCCTATATTACATACATACCACTCAATTCCTATATATTTACATATTTAACACCTAAATTTCAATTTTTACATATATGCCGCGTTATCTATACATGACAAGGTGTATTTCACTATTTACAAGTTAGAATAGTGGTATAGTATAGATGTGATATAAAATAATTGGGTGGTCTAAATGTAAAAAGCAAAGAATAGATATTACATATCTAAATACATCAGAATTGGATGGTACGTATGTAAATGCTCCTAAGTTTAAATTAAATGGTATGGCAATAAATATCACCTCATGTCCTGCTTGATTGTGGTAGCCAGCAATTCGCCATTGTGCAATGCTCGTTCCATGGAAAACTACAACAGTGAAATATGCATCCAAAAGTAGAATCCTATCAGCAGCAATGGCCGTTACATCCAATAGAACTGGTTCAGGAGCAGAATGAAAGGAGTAGGATATCAAAGAGGGCTGAATCATCACAACAGAGTTGGATACACTCTCTCTATTCAGGATCATTCTATAATAAGCAGTTTCATCTGGACTGTTATTGAAAACCTGCAAGATTATTTAGGCGGTTTAGAAGAATAACATTGACAAAAGTGCAAATTGAATTGTGGAATATCCTTAAAAAAGTAACTACATTCAAATAAATACTGAAAAGTATAAAAAGCATACCTGGACAAACTGAGACCTTCTCAGATTAAACATAAATTGAGGGAATATTGAGATGCGTGGAGATAGGCTGAAAGAAGATGGGCTATCTTTCTGATAGTCTCCAAATTTGGAACACAGGCGAATCAAAGACCTATCCAGCCATCTAATAGGGTCAAAATCAGCCTGCAATGGCAAGTTTCATCTTTGATTCCTTTCCCACAGAAGTGATAATTTAGTTAAAAAAAAGGATGAATCTTCACATATATTAAGGTAAACAGCACCATACCTCTAGAATAGTTAACTAATTTTGGTTGTTATAATAACTTGGTATTGTTTATGTTTTTCATCTTTTCAACACAAAAAGAAGCAAAAAAGAATTCAGAGTTTTCATTGATTGTTTGCAGGGCCAGCACAAAATTTCCAGTAAATTACAACAGAAAAATTTCCTCTATATGTAACAATAGATCCATGAATTTTTTAAAAACTTTTTTAAGCAAAAGTTTGAATACTTCTGAAAGAGAATGATGGCTGGGTATTGTAAGGATTTGTCCGGTGGAATGTGCTCATGATATTATGTGGAAGCATGAAAAGCTATGCTTTCTAGGCTTGGCCGATAGCAACAAGTGGAACCTATAATTCCATTAATAAAAAGCGGGTACATATAATTACTTAAAATGCCCACCAACGAACCAAAGGAACCACAAGAATGGATTGAAGACCTCACCGAACATTTTCAGAAATTTGCCCATCTAATTACTTCAGAAAGGACTTGAAACATGTACAAAAAAGTTTTATTTGAACTAATGGTCATGGTCACATGGCACTAGTATTTATAAAGCATTATATACATATAACCTAAACTCATACAGGAAGTGGTCAGCCGATGCAATAAAAGTAAGCTTGTTGAGTACTCCAAAATGCAATATTTACTTTCCTCGAAGAGAATGGATGGTCATAACATATTTGGAAAGAGGGCTGCCCAAAATAAAGAATATGATGCATAACAAAAAAGGTTTTAGCCTATTTGGAAGAAGAGAGGCGCTAAAAAATAAGCACATGTTGATTGGATTGATGAGAGGTGGTCGACTGTTCAAGTACAAGATGGAACTCAACCATCCATTGTGTCCGAATACTTAAATATCATGCAATTAATCATCATGCCCTAGCATAACATTGGATTCTTGTGCTAAAACATCTCCAAATCTTCGAGAATTCTACTTCACTAAGTCAGAAACATTGTAGTCATCATAAGAATTGAAGAAGATGTGCTTGAATCAACAATAACCAAAAAAAAGTTACTACTGGAGAAGGCGTGATCAACATGAATTAATGAAGACCCTTGCAAGGTCGTAGCTTAAACATATTTGCTATTTGCTATTGTTTAGCAACACTAAAGGAGAGAAAATAGCAATGAAGAACTTGATTGACATTTTTAGATTTAAGAGGAGCACGAGTTGTTTTTGGTTTAGGTAGAACTCTAAGTGTTGGGATAAGGGCAGGTGTAATGGGTGAAGAATTACTTTTAGGCAAGGGAGGTCCTGCTTTAGTCTTGAGGAAGCATAAGAGTAGTTTCACCACACAACGATAGAACCAGTTAGCCACCAAGCCATCCAAACGAGAAAAATTTCTCTAAATTTTGATCCCAAAACAAATATCATTATGCATTTATTTTTAGAAGTTTATATCAATCAAATGAATAAAATAAATTTTAATAATGCTGATAAAGCACAAATCTTGATGCAATTCACAAGTTAGAAACTTTCAAAAATAAATATAGTGCCATCCGTCTGTTTATTCCAGCAAACTTGTAGCCATACTAAGTGTCTAAACCACATGAACCTAACAGCACTATTTTGGTTGATGTTGAGATTAAAAAGATAATTAAATGTTAAAAAAAAATTATAATGAAAGGAGTCAAAACTAACAGTCTGTCAGCACTATTTTGGTTGTGGAGTTGCTCGTTGGAAGCTGTCGACCGCCGAAATCGAAATCCCGTCGCCCGCTTCGAAAAGACATTTTAATTTACATATATATATTTTAAAAAAAAAATGAAATCAAATTGATCTCATATCTTCCATAGTTTAAAAGAAAGAACACTACACCTCAAGACATGTATCTATCCCGAAAGATAAACACAAGACTTGAGGATGAGACTCGATCAAATAAACTAAGAAATACATGACATCTGTTTGCTCTGCAAAAACCATTTTATTTATAAGCCGACAAGTTCTTCTATCTATTTAATATGAAAAATTAAATAGGATTTATATTAAGCTGGGTTCGGAAAAGTTTCATATAAAGATAAATTCTTATAGTTAATTACGTTTTAGATAATCGAATTCACCTAAGAAAAATTTGATAAAAATCAAGGGACATTATCTTCAAGAATGTTAAAGGAATAGGACTTTTGAACGAGATCGGACAAAATAGTGGAAAAAAGGAATGACTCAAATTTAAAACATTTTATTTTAGAATCCAAAGAAAGAAGAACTAGAGAATATCACAGATCCTGAGGAGAATCTCGGTGACTTCCCAAATTATCCTACTGTTTAGCTTCAGTCTAGAGGAGAAATATTTAAGTGTTTCATCCTGCCAATTTTATTAATCAGAGCTTACTTTCCTGTGAAACGATCACACAAATAGCCTGGAGATATTAGAGTTTAAGTCGTAACGAACGACAATTTCGGAATCCTAAAGCGAGTTAGGGCTTATATTGTGTAGCAGAGCTATACAAAAGCCTAAAGATACAAAAGCCTAAAGATAAGCTAAAGATAAGCTGAGGATTTATGTCGCACTAGGTGGACAACCTTGAAGTTTTATAGCTTGGTTGTTTAATTCTAAAGAAAAGAAGGTTTAACTTGTGTAGACATATTTTGCTGTTGAAGATAACTGTGTTGCCCACAATGCTAGCTCCAAGCTCCTGGTTGTAGCACCTTCAAGTTCAATGTTAATTTTAAGTGTACATGCAATTGTTGAGTCAACAATCTGCGGCCGGGTACCTCCTATAAAATCAACTACTGGTCTCCTACTCTAAGGTATAGTGTGTAAAAGAAACATTAACAGGTATAGCAAAGGAAAACAATGACATCACAATGTGTATAAGAGCAGTAAAACATGCAGTATAGGAAAGCAGTAGAATATACAGTAGATAAGAACAGTAAAGTGTGTTGTAAAGTAAGACATTGTAGATGTAAAACAAACATGTATACCTAGGAGGTCCGCTGCTCCTTTTAAGTGTGATTGGTGTAGCAGGTATAAGTGTAGCGACAAAATTTAAGAAACGAACTAGCATGCATTGCATAAGTAAAAGTGAGCAACAAGAGAAACACCACCTGGAAAACTCGAAAAGAATAGCAAATGACAACTTAAAGAAAGTCATCGAAAACACGAGAAGGTCCTGAAAAAAAAACCACTAGTGATTTACCAAAACCTAAACCAAGAAACAAGGAAAACAAACCGAAAAATAAGAAAATGAAAAAGAAAGAAACTAACCCACATCCAAAACCGATTCAGGAGAGGAGTCAAAGGGGCAGAAGGGTTAGCCTAAAACATTCGACTGGCGGGACTCTCTCGAATGGGTAAAGAGGTGGGGCACACTCCCCTGGGCTAATCATGAAACATCCCCAAAAGACACAAATTAAAAACTTCCAAATCAATCTTGAATTTTTCCAAATATCAAAAGATCCTTCGTCTTTTTCTTTTCTCTCCTTTTCTTTTTATTGCAACCAATTTGGCCCACAAAATTGGGCCTCAAAACATTTCCAAACACCTAGGAAAATATTCCTCGAAAGGGGGCATTCAAACTCTTCCAAACAATTAAAAATTAAAATATTTCAATTTACGAACATCAAAACATTTAATTTCACCTCGAACTAAAAGTTTCCAATGCCAATACGAACCCAACATCATCTAAAAATCCCATATAGATGCTCACAGTCAGGGCAGCAAGGAACCACCATACAGGTGCACAAAAGAACCAACTAACATGGGTAAGGAGGCTCTCGGCTAAAGGCAGCAAGGGAGCAAACCAAACCCCACAAGTGGCTCAAACAACCAAGCCACCACAAAAGAATCCCGACCCCAACAAGGCCAAAACCGCAGTCATCGCAAGGCCAAAACCACAACCACCACAAGGCCAAAACCGAGCGACAACAGAGCCAAAACCGAGCTACAACAAGGCTAGAACCAAGCCACTACAAGGTCTAAAACCGCAGCCACCACAAGGCCAAAACCAAGCGACAACAAGGCTAGAACCAAGCCACAACAAGGCTAGAACTAAGCCACTACAAGGCCAAAACAGCAGTCACCACAAGTCCAAAACTGAGCTACAACAAGTCCAAAACTGAGCCACAACAAGGCTAGAACCAAGCCACTACAAGACCAAAACCGCAGCCACCATAAGGCCAAAACCGAGCTACAACAAGGCCCACCACATGGGTAGAACCAAGCCACCACAAGGCCAAAACCGCAGCCACCACAAGGCCAAAACCGAGCTACAACAAGGCCAAAATCGAGCCACAACAAGGCTAGAACCAAGCCATTACAAGGCCAAAACCGCAACCACCACAAGGCCAAAACCGAGCTACAACAAGGCCAAAACCGAGCTACAACAAGGCCAAAACCGAGCTACAACAAGGCTAGAACCGCAACCACTACAAGGCTAAAACCACAACCACTACAAGGTCGAAACCGAACTATAACAAGGCCAAAACCGAGCAAAGACAAGGTTAAAACCGTTGCCCAAAATATTATTAAAACAGGTTAGAAACTGCAGCCACATTAAAAGCTTAGAATTAATATATCTACCTTGTTTCCCATCATAAGAGCAAGTGACAAAATCTTGCCTACGAGAAAAGAGAAATTTATGTACAAACCAGGCAAGTATTTGTATACAAATCATACAATTATTATATATTTACATACCAAACACATAAAAAAGTTTAGCAACCTCATGCAAAGTTCTCAAAACTTTAGACAAATATGCTATTGGCATATATTTTCATGCATAGGATCATCAAGCCAAAAGTACCATGAAGGCCCATGTAAAAGTTTAAGTGCCCGTTATGTAAACTCAATAAGAATTAATTGATATGCATATAATACTTGCAAGAATGTCGTATCTGTATGCAACAAGATCGGGTTCAACCTCATCCTTGGTCGAGCTAAATCAAACATATGCAAAG